AACAGTATTTTACTTCGAAGCTTTTAAAATGACAGTACTTGTCAGTCGATTAAACTGTGTCCAAATGTACGTGAAAAAAATAATGACGTATACTGTATTAGTGTAACTCAGTTTTTCAAGGTACAAATTAATTTGTATTTCAGTTTAACTTTTTTGTCTTACATCGACCTCCTGTGTTTTGTTTTATAATTTATTCAAAGAAAGTTGTTGTTTCATAAATTCAAGTATGTGTGCGCGTTATAACGGTATCTTTTTAAAATATGACCTTTTTCGTCAACATAAGAGAAATTTAATTAGTTCAACTCGGAGAAAATGCGAAAAACTCAGAAATTGTAGGGTTATCTACATCACATTTCCAAGGGGTGTTTTATTTAATTCTCAGCAGGCAACTGCCTTATAATTTGTATGTTTTTGGAATTAAGGGTTTCTTAGCTGTATGAAAATAGCAAAGTACTTGGATATGAATATATTATTTCCATACTTATGAAGTTTTAGCAATACATGTTTTATGATTAATTCCATTGGCCCGTTTCCATGACTACCATACGCTATCGGTTTAATTTTGTTTTATTTTCACAGACAGTTCTGGCATTATTTTTATTTTATTATTTCGTATCTTCATAAAAATTAGTTTTTGGTTGTACTATGGTGAACGTTACTACTACTGACTAGACGCAGTTTAAAAATAATGTGTCGTCATAAATTTATCACTGTAATATTAAACAGTAGGAGTGGCTTAATGAGTTTCTTTAATCAAAAAACGTGTTAGGGAGGATTGGAGAAAAATCTGGCATGTTATACTATGGTACGTTTTTCAAAGAAATGTGCTTCTATGAAGTTAGTTCAAGCTCACAGGTAGTATTTCTGTGTTCCATAAGTAAGTTATAATACTGTATTATTTATTTGTTGTTTCATTCATTAACAGAACTGTTTCTGCTATTTAATGCACCAAATGTCGTTATTTTCTGTTGTAAAAAATATATTTTTATTATACAGATTGTTTTACATTGTTAGCTTAATATACTTAGGACTAATATAAACCTCCTTAGCTGATTGAATCTTGGTAGATACTTTTGGGATTACAGCCGAAAATATCGTTAACAACGAGAGTACCGTACTGAAGAAACAACGTATTCTAGTTTTTTATAACTAGAAACAGCCCCCCCCCCCCCAGTGGCACATTGGTATGTTTGCGGACTTACAACACTAGAAACTGGGTTTCGATACCCGTGGTGGGCAGAGCACAGATAGCCCTTGTGTAGCTTTGTGCATAATTATAAACAAACTAGAAACATAAGAGAAGTGTATTTAATTATCTCTACTGTTGAACAGGTTAGTGTTTAGTTTTGATCTAAACACATAGCTTGCTCTAATTAATAATTTGGAACTCTGCTCTGACCACTCATCTTTAACCTCGTTTATTTATTTATGTTTTCATGGTTTGACTTGTACCTTGTGAGTTAGCAATGTCTTGGTACATCGTGTTCTTGTACTTTTTTTGTCACATAATATATATATATGTATTTGAACTTCATACCCTTTGGGGACGAAACAAACAAGAGTACACCTGTCCCCCCCCCCCCATTTTTAAGGTACGACTTATTTAAAACATATGCTATCATTTATGTTGCTCGGTTGAATATTTCGTCCACTTTTCAGATACATAGGATTTTAATCTCAGATGTAAAATTTCTATATAGCACGAAATGGGAAATAATACAGTGTACTTCAAAGTGATTTTATTTACAGGTGATTATTATCAAAACGGTACTTAATTTTCAACTGGTCGGCGGAACCGGTTTTGTGATATGTTATCTCCACAACTAAGCGTTAAGTAACATTCGCACGCTTACTGAAGGTTAGGAATAACGGGATTTCTGTGCAAGAAGTTATGGGATTTTCTTTACTGTGCTAGTGTTCTTTTATAATTACTAGTTATCAAGTAATAATGATTGATTAAGCTGGATTACTCATCAACTTAATAATGATCAGAATTTGTACAAAACAGATTTACAGGTTTTTCTTTCACAAAAATAAAATGTTGCATTTTATCTGTAAATAACAGTCTCTCGACCGTTGGTTTATTTACATCGAAAGAAATATAACCTTGGCATGTGCTATTTGTAGAAATCGGAGCTACTTTACGTAGTATTAAACAGTGTTTTCCCTCCCTACAGATTTGGAAGAAGTTGGCTATGATATCTGGGAAGGTCTTCCGTTAGAGTCTGAGAACGAGGATAAAGACAAGGACGACTTCCTGTTCGAGGTTAGCGACACACCCCATCTCCCAACTTTCCGCCTTCAGTTGCCTTGCAACGACAATAAGGTGTAAGTGTGCTCACGCAGGGCACGTGATTTGTTTGTTAAATTTTGTTTATCTTCGCTGTATATATTATATCGGGGTCAGCAGAGGACACAAATTGCGCATGCTCTTAACTGAGGAAGTCTCTGGCGACCTTTAACAGTTAATCATAATATGATTTTCAATTTCTTAAGCCACCAAACTTTAGTAGCGTAGTTAAAATAACTTTTATATTGAAATTATACGATTTTTTTCAGGCTTGGATTATTAAATTGAGATAAAATTATCATAGTTACAGTAGTAGTACGTACGTCAATCTAAAATCATTTTTTGCTTCCGAATTTGTTTGTATGATAAATACAAAAAAATGTCTATTTACTTTGGCATTTTTAGTAATAAAAGCATGATAAACACACACACACACACGTTTGGCTTATATGTAGTAACGTGTGTTTAGCAACCCTTGAGGGCCGCACGAGTGGCCCTCTGCAGATCAGTTTAGGTTCCCCCTCCCCCGCTCTGTAATGCTAATCAAGTTAAAAGATTATTCTGATTTTTTGTATATTGTTACGTCTCTACTCGTTTAATTTTTCGTAGAAATTCTTTCCAAGAAACTTCAGCGATACAAGTTCTTTCTTAAATAAAACTAGTTTATTCTTTCTCAGTACAACTTTGCAATACACTTAATTTCCACAGTCACTTTAACATAAACACACGCTATAATTCACAATGATTTACACACTTTACTTACGGCTTGACCCGATTATCTGTCTATATCTTCAATCTCTCTGTCTGCTATTCCAATTCCGATGAATTGTGTCGCTTTATCTGGCGTGCTTATATACAGGAATAGAGGGCGGCAAGCAGATACTGGATTATTCGTGATGTTCCCCGATCCTTCTAGATACTCATTACGTGTTACCAGCGTCACGTGACTTTCGCTGTCGTAACAATATTAAAAGTGGGAAACAA